TATGGTCCCAAGCCCACAGGATCAACTACTCGGTCTGGATAGGACATCTTGATAGAGGCAGGGTGCTGCTGCCATTGAATAGCCAGAGGAAAGGGACAGTAATCCAGAGGCTGTGAAATTCTCATTCCTGAATAGACTAAATACTCGGCTTTCTCTCAATCTGCTGGGCTCAGTGAGGTCTCTGATAATTCTTTGGGTCTGCACCAGGGTGAAAAGGCCTTTGTATTCAGTGTTGCTCTTTCTAGTACCTTTCAGTCCTCCCTGAGTTTCTTATCTTTCTCTTTTATGCTTTTAATTTCCTCATGACGATCCTCAGTGATGCATCAGGTAATGCCCCAAAGCCCATTAGACTAGAACCCAAGCAGCCATAAGTAATTGATTTATCCTCTCTTGGAGGGTAACTAGGGTTAAGCTTTAGAATGACAATGACAGATCTTGTGAGATATTTGCATTGGGATGGGTAAGCCCCCCACTCAAAGGTTTGCTGGTTGACTTTTCACGTTAACAGTAACAACAGACAAAAAGGAAAAACAAAATCAAAAACAAAAATGAGATTGATTTCGTATAAAAAATAGGGTATATGTTCCATATCTTATAACATTTATATGAAGGCTATAAAGAATAATGCAGAAATAATTGAATAATCACATTCTTATTCAAAGTTAGCTAAGGTCTAAAATAAGTAAATTATTTTAAGTAGACATAGACTTCTCTTGTATTTATTGTATAACCAACCATGAGTGCTTAAATACATTCTTTAAATATATTATGTTATCATAGTCATTCTTTACAACATTTCTGTGAATTACTTACTTTTAGATCCTTTTTAGATGAACACACCTAAGGCTTAGAGATGACAACTTGGCTATTAAATAACACAGGAGCTCTGGTAGTGTAGTGCCTAAGGCACTTGACTGCTAACCGAAGGCTGATGGTTCAAACCCACCAGCCACTCCTCGGAAGGAAGATGGGGCAATCTACTTCCGTAGTGATACTGCCTGAGAAACCCAAGGAGGGGTCACTATGAGTCACGTCCGACTCAACGGCACATAACAACAACAACAACAGCAAATTATATAGCACTGTGAGAGAATTGGCTTTTTTTTTTAACTTAGTTTTTCTGACTTAAGGAGGCTTAGTGGTACAGTGGTCAGTGTCTTGGCTGCTAACCAAAGGATCCCTGGTTCAAACCTACTGGCTGCTCCATGAGAGAAAGATGTGGCAGTCTGTTTCTGTAAAGATTACAGCCTTGGAAACCCTACAGGGCAGTTCTACTGTGTCCTTTATGGTGCTTATGAGTCAAAATTGACTTGGTGGCTGTCTGTTTCTTGGTTTTCTGACTTAGGTTCAGTGTCTTTTCCATCACATTAAAAGCTGCTCAATTACATAATATTAATCTTTTGATTCATTCTTTAAATCTGTCTCTCTATATAATTGCATGCATGCATAACTATATATTTTAAAAATGATATGGAATATCATTTTTATCAAAACAATATAGTTGGTGAACCCCTAGTTCTCTGTGTCAATATATTAGTCTTACTCCTGCCTGACATTCCCTTTTCTCCCTAAAAGTGGTAAAGAGTCCTGTTCCACTCTTAATATCCTAAATCATGTGTTCTTGATCTTGACATTATTAACATTTTGTGCTGGATAATTCTTTGTTGTAGGAAACTGTCTTGTGTGTTGTAGGATGTTTAGCGTCATCTCTCGCCTCTACTCACTAGGTGCCAGGAGCACTCCCCAGTGTGACAGTTGAAAAATGTCTCCACAGACATGGTCGCATGTTGCTTAGCGAGCCGAATTACCCCTGCTTGATGTCTATTGCTATGATGTGAATATGAAAGCAGCTAAATCAAGGTGGAGTTCCTCTGTTCAGTTTCTTTCCTGCATTTTGTGTGTCAGAACAAGTCAGGTTATGCTGTGGTTACAAACAATGCCTGAAGTGGCTTAACACAGCAAAGGGGTCTCATTAGCTCTCCAGGTTGGCTGTCCTCCACAGAGCAACTTAATGTTCCAGGTTATTTCAGTGTTCTAGGAGCTCAAGATCCACATGTGCTTTCATGACCGTTGCAGCAGAGAGCAAGAGAGAGCGAGAGAGAGAGAGAGAGAGAGCACAGACAGTTGTTAACAAGGTCTTAAATATATTCCTCTGGAAGTGACACATGACACTTCTTTCACATTGTAGTCACTAAAGCAAGTCACATGGCCATGTCTTACTCTGAGGTAAAGGGGAAGTTTAGTCCTATATGCCTGAAAGAGGATACTTGGGAATACAGGTGAACATTTGTAATGTCTCCTACAAATACCTAGTAACTATTGTTTGAATGCCCTCTAATGAACTAAATTGAAGGGGCTCTGGTGGTGTAGTGGGTAAGGCAATTGACTGCTAACCAGAAGGTGGGAGGTTCAAACCCACCAGCTGCTCCATGGGAGGATGATGAGGCAATCTACTTCCGTAAAGATTTACAGCCTTGGAAACCCACTGGGGATCCTATGAGTCAGTATAGACTCGATGGCAGTGGGTTTTAAAGAGCTAGTTAAGTTCTAGGTGATAGGATTTAAGTAAATTTTGAAATATGATATCTACTCATTAGTTCTGTAGAGAATTTACACATGTGAAATAATTAGTGAACAAGATAATAGACACTATATGTGATACATTATAGTAATATGTATTATTTTATAATATTGACATTTTTATAATATTGACATTTTTATAATATTTACTTTGTTTATCATTTGTAAGTTTTCCAAGTCAAGAAAGTGGTATGTCTTTCTATTTTTTCTTTACATCCAACTATAAAATTTCACAGTTCTTTCTGGTAAAATGTATGATTAGATGCTTTGTAATCGTGTTATCATTTTTGAAGGGATTTTTTTCTACTCCCTTCTACCTTGTTACAGCTGATACACAGAAAAGCTATTTGATTTTTGAATAGTCATTCTTCATGCACATGCCTTAATGTGAATACTCTTACAGTTTGCATAGCTTTTATACTTGAGTCACTTAGAAGAATAATCGTCAAGTTTTGGCCCCTGGACCCCGGACTAGCAGCTTCAGTATCTCCCGGGACTTGGTAGAAATCCAAATTCTTGGATTCCAAGACTAGGCCTACTGAATGTGCAACTTTGGGGGTGGGGCACAGCTTTAGGGATTTTTAGGTATTGAGTCATACCTGTAAAAATAATGATTAGGTTCTCTCTCCTTTGTCAGTAGTTGTTGCTAGTATTTCTTCTTCTCACTTTTAATTTTACATGAAATGTGCAGAGCAATATTGGGTACTAGTAGAAATAATTGTGTATTTTATGTTATTTAAAAGAAATGTTGTTTGTTAGTGCCTGGTGTTTATTATGTTTAAAAGTTTCCTACCATTTGAAATTTTTACTTAGAATTTTAAAATAGGAATGACTATTGGATTTTAGCAAATTGTTGATATAATTTGTTGATATAATTATATGAGTTTTCTTTAATCTATTAGTATTTGACATGTGTTGATGAGTTTTGTTTTGTTGAACCTTGTATGCATTCATGGAACATGTCCAACTGTTTTAACATATTACCAGATTTGGTTTGCTAATGCCAATTGCCTGACATTGTAGTAAATCGAATTGTTTGTTTCCTCCCAAAACAGCAACAATAATGTTCTTTTTCTTTCAACAATAAAATGGGTTCTTGTTTTCTTAAAAGTATGGTTTCTTATGTTGCTTTGAAAGGTTCAATGAATTTAGATACTACATGTTTCATGCAGCATCTTGACCTCAAATCATAACAACAATGGTAATAGTTGACTTTATGTGCTCTTATTAGAATTCTACCAAATATCTGGCTGGGTAGCTGTCCACGCCAAGTGGAACACGTAACCATCAAACTGAAGCATGAATTGGGGATTACAGCTGTAATGAATTTCCAGACTGAATGGGATATTATACAGAACTCCTCAGGCTGTAACCGCTACCCAGAACCCATGACTCCAGACACCATGATTAAGCTGTATAGGGAAGAAGGCTTGGTCTACATCTGGATGCCAACACCAGATATGAGCACCGAAGGTAAGTGTCAGGAGAATACTTCTGGCTCCTTGCTTGATGTGTTTCATAGAAACTTAATGTTCATTGTCTGTCTGTCCATATCTTATCTATTTAACTGAATGAACTATATATGAGTGGTAGAAATGAATATAAAGTATTAGATTTAATACCTATCTTTTGGCACCTTGGCTAAGATTCCACTTAATGTGGATCTTTTAATTAATTTGTTTATTCACTAAACAAATATTTATTATATGTCTGCTGTGTGTGTGATGTCATGCTGATGGTTGGGAATATAATGGTGAAGAAAATCAGGTACAACTCCAGCCCTTATGGAACTTACAGTCCTGTAGGACTGATATTAATCCCATGATTGCAAATATAAATTTAAAATTGTGGTGAGATTTTGTTAAAATGATACATAGATACTGCTATGAGAATACATACAGGCAAATCAGGCCCTGAAAGGGGGGTCAGGGAAGGTTTTCATGGGAGGTAATGTTTGAGCTACTGTCTGAAGAGGGAATTGGAGGGGAAGGGTGAGGTGGATGAGAGTATTCCAGGAAGAAGTGACTTGAGAAAAATCCCTGTTGTTGGAGAGTACATAGAGTGCTGCAGGAAGTGAAAGGAGACCAATGCGGCCCCAGCTCAGAAAATGAGGCAGAGTGTGGTGTCGAATGACACTGGAGAGGTGGGCAGGGATCTCATAAATGTGGAGGACCTTGGCAGGACCATGGCCATGATAAGGACTTTGGAGTCTACCCTGAAGTGAAGAGAAGCAGATGAAAAAGTGAGAAGCTGGAAGATGCCAGGATAAAATGTTTGCCTCTCCAAAAGTGTGCTTTGATGGCAAAAGTGTGGCGAATGGATTGGAGGGGAGCCCAGAGTGGAGCTGGGGAGACGTTAGGAGGTTTCCGCAGTGGTCAAGGTGAGAGACCATGTGAGAGAATGTAGCTTGGGGTAAGGTAGAGGTGGTGAGTCTTCATCTACCCAGGCTGTCTCTGTGAAGGGGGATTAGGATGTGTGTGGGCTAAAGCACAGTTTTGATCCAATGGCGAGGAGACAGTACGGCATTTCAGAACTAATTACAGGACAGAGAAGGATGCGCGGGGAGAGGACTGAGTCATGAGCTCTCTCAGGAGCATCCTGTGTGGAGGGACACAGGGAGCCTGTGGAGTTGGGCAGGGTTTTGACAGGTGTGGAGGACATGCAATGGGGAGGAAATAGCATAAGCCAAGGCACGGCCGCCATCATGGTACAACTCGAGCCATGGGACTTCAGTGGAATGATGTGTCCTTGAGCATGGCTGTAGAAGAGGGTATTCTTAAGGAAGGAAAGATGTCTGAAGACAAGGGAACCAAGTTACACAAGTAGTGCTGGCCAGGCGTCAGCAGGGGGCAGCAGAGAGCTACGGAACTGGCACAGGGTAAGGGCGTTTAGTGAACTGCTGTTTTGGGGAAAAGAACGAAGCATTTTCCCTCTTCCCTCAGTGTAAGTTCTGTAGCAACCACTCTTCTGAGCAATTTACGTGCATTAATTTATTTAATCCCCTATCAAAGCTCTAGGTATTGTCGTTAGCTTTATTTTGCATAGGAAGAGGCTGAAGTATACAAAAGCTAAGTAAGCTGCCCAGAGTCCTATCTAGAAAGAGGCATGGCTTGGATTTCCGGGTCCGCAGTCTGCCGCGGAGCACTGCTCCAGACCCCGCACTGTGGAGCTTCTTCTTGCAGACTGTCCAGACTGTTCATGCATCTTCAACACAACAGCACACGCAGTCACACACACTCACGATCAGCTGCTGTTACACAGCGTCTGGAGTCACAAGGGAGATAGGTGATTTTCCCAGAGTCAGCAGTCACGACGCTGGGCAGAGGCGGAAGACCTCAGGGGCTGCAGAGAACTTAGCTCTCTGGGCCTCTCCAACCGTAGAGTAGCCCTGTGTGGATCTCACCTGCTCCTTCTGGCCAGTCCCCTGCACTGTTATTAAAGATGGGGTATATTTTTGGCTCCTGAAGAAAGAGATTATCTTTGACAGTAACCAATCCAGAGAGAAGCTTTATGTGCTTTGATGGCTTCTTAAAGTTCTTCCCTTCGTAAAGGGAGAAAATGCAGACTTTATGTGCCCAGAAGAGCACTGGTTGAACCTAGGTCACATTCGCCTCGTCCAGCTTGCTTCTCTGGTTTCAAAACAGAGGAGATTGTGAAGATGGAGTGACTGTTCCAGAGAACAGTTAGAATCTGGCTTTGTTGCTTCTCGTTTTGTAACTTTGCCTTCCCGTTGGTGTGCTCCGAGACTAGGCTAGGAGAAGTTCCCCTGCACATCCTGTTCCATGCCGGGTTCTGATTACCTGAAGGCCCTATGGGTAATTTGCATGATAGTTTGAGGCTATGCAGAAGCCTGAAGGAAGACTATATCCCCAAAGACCCACTGTGATTGTATTCAGATCTCCTTTGTGGTCACCAGGTTACCAGGTTCCAGTCCTAACAGTGCAGAAGGGCAGCATCTTCCATGCCAGTGCCACCCTGAGGCACAGATGGCAGCCTGAGGAAGGCTGCCACTTGGAAATGGGGAAGCTCTGAGATAAGGAAAGGGCATAACTGGGGGCACAGGCAAAGGCTTAACAACCATCCTTGAGTCCCATTGAAGCTTTTTTCCAATAGGTCTTTCTCTGTGGCTCATACTATTAGCACAATGAGCATACAGGTTAATTCAGCCGAATATTTTTAGAACTCTGGAGAAAACTCCATCTGGAAGTGTTTTGAGCTACAGCATAATGCTGTCAGATAATGTCTGAGGGAGAAGACAGTTTATTAGGCTTGACTGTCACCACTGGTTGTCACAGACGTGTTACAATCAATGGTGCAATCGATCCTTCCTCTTGTACACTTTGTTGTATGGTGAGAGATTGCTTAGGGTTTTTTTTAAAATCCCCCAAATCAACTCTGATTTCTGCCTGTCACCTGAGAAACAAAAAGCTCCCCAATCCAGCACTCACCTGAAATAAAATCTGCTCATTAAAATACAGTTTTCCTTCATGTAGAAAATACTGAGACTGTCTCCACCTGTGTCACTGCAGCGCTGGTGATAACAAATGATCCCTGCATGCCTTCAGCTGAGTTTCTGTGCTTCCCAAAGTCCTCGGCTGCCCCTTGTGACCACTCTCTGAGCTCTTGTCCTCTCACTTAACACACTGAATTCAGTCCTGGCAAAATGGAAAGACACTGACCTTGGAGCCAGGACACGTGGTCTGAGTCTCGGTCACCGTAGTAACTGTGTGAGATGGAGCCAGTTTCTGCATTTGTAAAATGGGGGTAATAATTTCTCCCTACAGGATCATAAAGGATAGAGTAAGACAGTTTATATGAAAGTGTTTGGAAAATCACAAAGTTGTATACAAATATAAGATATTCAATCTAGGCCATATTCCTAAGTCCTAAGTGCTTAAATTTTTGCCAAAGGATGTCGTAGAGTGAATGTCTGTTATACCTTAAGGGTGAAAAGGGGATATGCTCAAATAAAATGATAATATATTCAATCCTGTATCTTCCTGTGTAGTGAGAAAGGAGAGATTCCTGTACATACATGTGTTGGAAAGCCATGAGTTATTTCTTTCAGGGGCAACTTCAGAGCCAAGTGTCTCTGTTGCCTTTTTATCTCTCCCTTTTCCAGCCCTGGTACCTCAGGCTGGTCCACTGTACTTGCCATATGCTCTATCCCATTTTCGTCTTTTCACTGTCTTTGTGCCTGCATCTACGCTTTGTTTGGTCATTAGGTGTTGTAGAGTTGGCTCCCACTCGTGGTGATTTCATAACAAAATGAAATGTTGCTTGGTACCGTGTCATTTTTATAATTGTTACTGTTTGAGCCCATCGTTGCAGCCACTGTGTCAATCTGCCCCATTGAGGGTCTTCCTCTTTTTCACTCACCTACTTTACCAAGCATGATGTCCTTCTCCATAGATTAGTCCTTCTTGGTAACATGGCCTAAGTACGTGACGTGAAGTCTCACCATCTTTGTTTCTAAGGAGCATTCTGGCTGTACTTCTTCCAGGACAATGCGTTTGTCTTTCTGACAGTCGATGGTATATTCAGTATTTTCAACCCATACCATAATTCAAAAGTATCAGTTTTTTCTGTCTTCCTTTTTCATTGTCCAGTTTTCACATGCATATGACATGATTGAAAATACCATGGCTTAGGTCAGCTACACCTTAGTCCTCAAAGGGACATCTTTGCTTTTTTAAGACTTTAGGAGACCTTTTACAACAGATTTGTCTGTTGCATGTTTTAGGCAGCTTTTAATCATTCCAGAGTTGAACTAGTGTGGAGCAAGTGTGGGCCAGAACTTAGGTTAGATGTGTCAAGTATGGTCTCAGATCAAACAGGTGTTATTGTTTTGAGCAAAGGAATTTTTTTTTTTTGTATCAAATTAAATTCTATATAGAGCCTAAGGATGTAAAACATAAAAAGTAACTGCTCTGGTTGATGTTAGCTGTATTACACAGAGTACAGGTGAGCCCTTTGAGTTACCCAGTGGGTCACATGTTGGCTCAGGATCCCTGGAATGGGTTTTCAAGCGGAGGGAAATGTGCTCTTTGAGTGCAGAGAACTCCTGGGTAAGGATGGAGGGGCTAACCCCCAGGAAGCATGTTACTCTCACATATGGGTAGGAATAGCAGCATGACTGGGCAGGTGGGAGGCAGATGTGATTGGGAGCTCAGCTTGACAGGAGAGCGGCCAGGAAGTCCCATTGGCCAGGGAGCTTAGGGAAGGACAGAAGTACAGTGGTTGAGACCAGAGGCTTTAGAGTCGGACTGGCTGGATTTGAGTGGTCACTTATGGAATAACCTTGGGCAAATCTCTGTGCTTGTTTCCTCACATATAAATAGAGAATAATAACATTGGCCTTATAGCTGTTAAGAAGTAGTTGTTCAATAAGCTGTTGTATGCAAAGTACTTAGAACTTGGCCTTGGAAAGGGCTTGGCAGTGGAAGAGGCTTAGTTAATTTTACCTATCATCA